TGTTGCCTTGTAATTTGATAGCCAAACCATCTGACACAGCTAAGACACTGGTTATATAACACATGCCAAACTTTCCCACGCCAAAGACATATTCTTTGGTTCTCAAGAATGTCAAATGACACCAAGGTGCTTGACTTTTATTTTGATGATTAAAACATATGTCACAACTAAAAAACAGGTGTTAATTAAAAATAGTCACCAAATTGCCTTTACAGAAGACATTTTCTTTAGTTCTCAAGATATTAAATTACATGGTGCTAAAACATGTCATTACTCCATACAAGATAACAGTGACCACCGCTATAATATATAAATCGAATCTAAAATACTGTGTAACGAAAATAAAACCCATTTATATAAGGAACATATTTCGGTCATGGAAACTTGGTCATACTATTTTCATAATTCAAATATTGGAACAAATTCATCATACCACCACATTTTATTAAAACTTTTCATTAAATATAAAACTATCAGCAGATAAAATATTGTTCAAATTTCAAACATTTGACTACAGAAGCAAACTTTCCATCAAATTAAAAAAAATATCTACAAATAATCGGTAAATGATTTTAACAAATTAAAATAAATCATATGTACATCACTTATTGAAAAAACAACAACTAATGAATGAAAAATCTATAAGGATAGAAGGGATTCCTTTGATACACAAGTTTGAAAAATGGTAAGAAGGTCTTATGGAATCGTGGTTATATACCACAGAAACAAGGTCATTTACATATACGGTTCAGACGGCATAAAGGTCATCTAACAGAACCAATGAGGGAGTGTATGTCACAAATTATTTGCATGTTCGGTGAATTTCCATTTCATGCAAGACCTAGAAAACCAATGACAATTGTGTATTTCGCAAGTCATTTGCATTTTAGATGAAATCAGGTCAATGGAAAAGTTTACAAACAGTTCCAGATTAAGTTTTAGTATATCGGTCCAAAGGTCAACCACCACGCGAAGAACTGAAAGATTGGCATTGAACAAAGGAATGGTGCTTCGTCATCAGCTTTTAAATAAGCCGCTCCTTTTTTTTAAACAGATCACATGATTACATCTGTATGTAACACACATATATGTGGATGGAATGTTTTACTGCAAGATATTATGTTTTATCTAGTTTAAAATCAAAAGCCATCGGTTAGAACATCTGTTAAGTACATTATCTAGTGTTAACCGTCAGTTTGTTTTAAAACAGGTCACCTCTTATATTTTTTGTTAAATATATTTCAAAGGCTAAGATAAAAAAAAAAAATCATACTGAAGTATGTCGGTTTTTACTAACCCTAATCAATATAAAATAATATAATTAATTCGCATATTAATTATTACGTTAATTACTACAATGATCTGGTCATTTTTTAAAAAACATTTTCTTACGCGTCAACAGCATAGAGATTGTAATTTTTTAACAACTCGGCAAAAAAATAAATAAAAATAACTGGCCTGGAAGGAATATAGAGGTTATTGGCATATTTAAAAAGGTCCATTGCATTTTTTAGAATATCGGTCAAAAGTTCACCTACTACCCCGAAAAACATCTGTTAAATACATAATGTAATATTAATATTATTAATCTGGTTTTTAAAGAACTAACCAATTTTATTTTTCTTAAATATATTTCAAATGTTAAAATAAAAACATTTAAGTATGTTAGGGTTAGACTAACCCGAATTAATATAAAACAATTAATATACTAATTAACATATTAATTAATACGATAATGACTACAATTATCATTTTAAAACATTTCTCATACCTTAACAATGTACAGCTTGTATTAATATAAACAATTAATATAAACAATTAATATACTAATTAATATATTACTTAATACTACAAATGACTACAATTGTTTGATTGGTGACATCTGAGAATATTCAAGTTCCAAAATATTAATCTAGTCCCTATTAGTCAGTATGGACGTTAAAACTCGTTTCATTTCTCTTATTTAAAACCAAATTTTGGTCGTGAAATTCAAAAGATCAAATTGAGAACTACCACCAGACCAGTAAATAATTTCACCAAATTTAGATAAATAAAAATAAATTTAAAAAAAAAAAATAAAAATAATGAAAAAAAAAGAATTAATGAAATAAAAAAGAATTAATGAAATAAAAAAGAATTAATGAAAAAAAAAAGAATTAATGAAAAAAAAATTAATAAAAAAAAAAATTAATGAAAAGAAATTAATTAATAAAATAATGAAAAAATAATTGAATTATGAATAATTCATGAAAAGAAATTCATGAAAAAGAATTCATGAAAAAGAATTCATGAAAAAAAAGTAATTAGATTATGAATAATTAGATTATAAATAATCAACTAAATGAGGAAATAACAAGACTAAATGAACAAATACAATTAACAAATACAATTAACAAATACAATTAACAAATAAAATTAACAAATACAATTAACAAATACAATTAACTATACAATTGACGGGAATGTCTTTTAGGACATGTTTTGGTCTTTGGGTTGAAGCGACGACGAAAAAGACGTTGGGGCGTGGCGAGACGGGGCCCAAGCGGTTCAAATAAAACATTTTGTTTCACACCACCAATAATACATTGAATAAAAATATGATCAGAGCGTCCGCGGGCGGGTTGGACTGGGCGGGCGGTGCGCGGGTTCGAGGTGAACTACGCACGCTCATTACGGTGACCCCCCCCCCCCTATCCACAATTCAAATTTAAACTCACAACTTCATATTACCTAGTTGCCACGGGTTTCCATCGGCACTACAATTAACCGTTAACACCCACCCCTTTAAAAAAAGGCGGACAACATTACAAACACACACACACCCAACAATTCAAATTTAAACGGACAAGGTGTTCATATTACGTCGTTATCACGTGATTCTATCGTAACTAGGGTCAACAACCACGCCCATAATAAAAGGGGGATAACTCTTCAGACGTTGCTAAGGTAAACAAAACAGGGGAAGATAACCCCTACCGGAAATAACCCTTTAAGTACTGTATTTTACTACTGGAAATAAATGTTACAAATTAAGGGTAAAGAAATTGATTTAATACTGGTCTACTTGAGCAAGTACACTGGTCGGTTACGGGAAGTAATGTACTTTACCGTTAAGCCCAGTAAAGACGAGCCAGTTAGGGGAATTCCAGTATGCAAGAAGATATGGTTCGGGATCATCAAATTTACAGTACACAAAACTGAATAGAACAATGAAATTCATTTAGTGTTAGAAAACAGTAAAGTTATTGAGAGTGAATCAGTGAACTTATATTATTGTAGCATGTTTATCTGTGTAATGATATTGTAGAAGTAGAACTTGAGATATTTAAAGGACATACAAAAAGTGTTTAGTAACTGTTATTAGTGATTATTTAAAGATTGTTAGCGGCATGGAATGGCAATGTTGAAATGCCATTCCGAAAGTATGTATATATTGTATTGTGTTTATTGCATGTGACATAATATGCGTTAATTAAGCAAGTGTTTATTTCACGCATTGCTAAGGCGCGTGTTGTAATACTATAGGGGTCATTTTAGTTCTATTATATGTACGCTGTTTAATATACTGAAGTTGTTAAACAAATGGGGGACAACGAGAAATAGGCTAAGTAGGTATTCTGCAAGATTCAAGTTTCTTAGACCAACTCACAGACAGTTCTTGCCACTATCAATTGCTAAAAGTAGGGTACTATCGTCCAGACATCTCGTGCACAGATTAGTCCAATTAAATAGAATAATGTTGACGTTAAACGGTGCCTATACGGAACACTTCCCCCAAAATAGTAATTGTCCCGCCCTAACAGCTGACGCATTATACTTCTATATAGGCGAGAGCGGGTAATGAGACCGTTAAACTCAGACCGTGGATGTTTTAATAACTCTTAAAGTATCTATAATAGATGTTGTAGTTTTCCTGTATTTAACCTTTGTAGTTTGCTGTATTTGTTATATAAACTTAGTAACAACATAAACGGTATTCCAGAGTCAATTAGTTAATGATTGAAATAATTGATCCCACAACGTGAAGTCAAAGAAAGTCCTATACGATAATATCACAGCTAATTCCTTTTTGTTGCCGAGACACAGAATAGTGTCATATATAATTCTTTATTTAGTGCCGTGACGAAGGATAGTCACGACGTAACCCTACCCTGTCTCAGATTGACCACTGGACATATTGCCAGTGTTGTGGGCATCTCTCATGACAGGGTTGAGCACATTATCGCTAACGAATGAGGAATAACAAAAGTTTCTGCAAAATGGGTGCCAAAGCTCTTGACTGCTGATCAGAAACTAGTCAGATTCCTGACGTCCCGTGACAATCTGCACCGCTTTTAAGCAGATCATGGTAATGTTTTGACCCGATTTGTGGGCATCTCTCATGACAGGGTTGAGCACATTATCGCTAACGAGTTAGGAATGACAAAAGTTTCTGCAAGATGGGTGCCAAAGCTCTTGACTGCTGATCAGAAACGAGTCAGATTCCTGACGCCCCGTGACAATCTGCACCGCTTTTAAGCAGATCCTGGTAATGCTTTGGCCCGATTTGGTCCCGTCAGATTTTCACCCGTTTCCCAAAAATAAAAAGGAACTAACCGGTCGTCATTTTCCTAGTAATGATGACGTCATGTCAGCTGTGAACGACTTTTTTTAGGCTGGTGGAAGAAAATTTACCCCATGTCACACAGGTTTTAAAATCTAATGTCGCAATTCTAAAGATCTTATAGACCACCGTATTCGACAGATCAAATTTTCGTCGATGGGGATATTTTCTTATGGACCATCCTACTTATAAGATCACGGTTGTTGAGACGAAGCTAGCTTTTGCTCATTTGACTTAAATGATAACATATTGTGATGAACACAAACACTTGTCTTAGCATATACGTATTTCCCTTGCGTAACAACTATTTTGGTTTTTCTTCTTTTGGCATGTTCTACTATTGCAATTCTATTTCACCCGTAGAATACATAAAAGGTTAAAATTAATATTAACTAACCTGTCTAAGTTGTATTGAATAATTCTGAACGTATTGTATCCTTCGCTGGTTAAACAAGTTCTGTTGTACACTAATTCTCTTTCTGAACAGCGCCCAAAACTACTTTTTGAATATACACTTCTTCCAAGGCGATCACATCGTTTCATATTACGTTCTCGATGCCGCCACAAACTGTTGCCTTCAATAAATATGTCCTGTTTCTGCAACCACTTGACATCGTGTTTCAAATTGATCCACCATGTTTCCGTATTCCATGGTTTCGTCTCTCCCATAACAATGGGGGGTTGCAAAAAGGATGGAAAACGACAGCTACCTTCAACACCTAGCAAATTAGAAAGCAGAAATAAAATAGTGATGCCAAAATATAAGCACATATATAGTAGGTAGTATGTAACCATTTTGACGCAAAATTTCTATGAGTTTTATCATTCATCCACAGACCTTTAAAAGTAGTCACCCAGATTCTTAAAATATTAAACTGGGCTGGTCTTTTACGAGAACATGATAATGACCATATTAATGTGTTATGTTGTTTAAAGTCAGTTTTTACTAAATACACTTGAAACACATTTAATTCAAATCCATTCATAATTAATTGAGGTATATTCATTCAATCCCTGAAAACGATTTAGCCAATAATCGAAAACACTCTTAATCAAACAAAACACCAGCAGCTGCCAGGCAGGATACGCCCACATTTTCGAGAGATGGATAGAGAACAAGCTAAAAAAGAGTGATTTTTCCAACAATCAAGGGCCATAATTCAGGAAATTACAATTCGATATGCGCAAATATCGAAAGGAACCAAGATCTTTGGGTTATTAACGTACATTTCAAGTTTCAACAAAATCGGATAAAAATTGTGACCTCTATAGGGTCCACAACTTTGATATATCATATTTTTACGCTATTTGAGAACGAGGAGCGGCCATTTTGTCTGTCAGTTTTGGCCGATTTTCACGAAATTCGAACTTAGCCGTCCTTAGGGTGTAACGGTGATATAATAATACGTTTTTTTTAAATCGGATAAAAATTATGACCTCTAGAGGGTCCACAAGCTAAAAACGCGATTTTTCGTACAATCAGGGGCCATAATTCAGGACGTTACGGTCCGATATGCGCGAATATCGACAGGAACCAAGATCTTTGGGTTATAAACTTACATTTCAAGTTTCAACAAAATCGGATAAAAATTGTGACCTCTATTGATATACCATATTTTCACGCTATTTGAGAACGAACGGCGGCCATTTTCTCGGTCAGTTTTGGCCGATTTTCACGAAATTCGAACTCAGCCGTCCTTAGGGTTTAACGGTGATATAATAATACGGTTTTTTAATCAGATAAAAATTATGACCTCTATAGGGTCCACAAGCTAAAAAAACGATTTTCGTACAATCAGGGGCCATAATTCCTGAAGTTACGGCCCGATATGCGCGAATATCGAAAGGAACCGAGATCTTTGTGTTATAAACTTACATTTTAAGTTTCAACAAAATCGGATAAACATTGTGATATACCATATTTTTACGCTATTTGAGAACGAAGGGCGGCCATTTTGTCTGACAGTTTTGGGCTGATTTTCACGAAATTTGAACTCAGTCGTCCTTAGGGTGTAACGGTGATATAATAATACGGTTTTTTAAATCGGATAAAAATTATGACCTCTATAGGGTCCACAAGCTAAAAACGCGATTTTTCGTACAATCAGGGGCCATAATTCAGGAATTCGAATATCGAAAGGAACCGAGATCATTGGGTTATAAGCATACATTTCAAGTTTAAACCAAATCGGATAAAAATTGTGACCTCTACAGTGTTCACAAGCTAAAAACTTGTTTTTTTGTACAATCAGGGGTCATAATCCATGAAGTTACAGTCTGATACATGCCAATATCGAAAGGAACCGAGATCTTGGGGTGATAAACCTATATTTCAAGTTTCGTTGAAATCGGATAAAAATTGTGGCCTGTAGACTGTTCACAAACAATTGTGGACGTCCGGAAGGACGGACAGGGGCGACGAAAATATACATCCGCATGGAAATGTGGGCGTATAAGTATAACCAGTGACGTCAGAGTAACCAAATGTTTATTAGGATGTTATTCCTCAACAACTGTATACTATACATCCCAATTGCACAGGGATGTACTCATTGTCGATCCTATCACTGAATTGAACGGACGTATTGTATTGACACAGCGTAGCAACCAAAGATAATTCAACATTACAAGCTAAGCAGAAATTGACTATATATTAAGATTTACTAATATAATAAAGTCGGTGGATTTATTGTTGCAGTAAATAACATCAAACTTTCAATCAAAATCTCAAATTGTTATCTCGAGAAATTTTTGTTTACATAGAATCCAATATGGCGGTTACAAATTATATTGAAAGTCTGTTAAACACACCATCACCCAGCTCTTTTAAAGTTACAAACAGGAGAAGTAGTAATAATAAAATAGAATATAGCTAAGTGGTCATAGTAAAGTGTAAGAATCACACAAAAGCTAGAGCTATAAAAACCCAAACTATCGGCGACGAAATCAAAACCAAATGGGGGAATAAAAGACACTACCGAAATAAAAATACTGAAAAACTGGCCATTGAAAATGCCAGCGATGCAGAAATGGCGTGCAAGATTGGACAAGTAAACGGGGTAGACGTGGCAATTGCCCAACCCCTATCTCCCAGGAGCTGGGTATTATTCATGCCGTCCCATGTGAATACTCAAACGAAGAACTCTTAGAAGATCCTCAATCCAATAGGTATGAAGTTATTAGTGTATATAGGTACAGAATCCCAGATGGCAAAAAATCAGGAACCATACACGTCACCTTTAAAAAAAAGACAGGTCCCGGAAGAAATAAAATTAGGCCATCAGATAAGAACAGTGTACCCGTATATTCCCCATGTCAAAATATGTAGAAACTGTCAAAAGTTTGGACATAACGAATCTCACTGCATTGGTAAATCAATGTGCGAGAAATGTTCAGACTCGCACAGCAGTAATACCTGCTCATCTGAAATATTAAAATGTAATGTGTCGAAAAGGTCACGAGCCAACTGACAAAACTTGCACCAATTCGTTGAAATAAAAGAAATTCTTAGAATTCAATATATTAAGAACAAATTTGTTCAAAATTATTTTTAATGTCATCCAGGGATACACGATAAGGGAGCGTTGAAGGGCAAAATATGTTCACTGTTAAATCAAACTTACTAAGGATAACCCGAAAGAATCACATAATTACTACACCCAAATATGTGTAATCACTTATATAAATAACTCTCAACGGACAAGGACTCTGTAATTAAAGTTATTAAAAAAGTGTAAAAAATAAGTAGCACAGTCCTTAATCAATACCCAGAAAGCTGAATCGGATAAAAAGAAGATAATATCTAACAAACGCTCAACCAATCACCGGCCTAATAAAACCAAGGGAGAGCAGATCCCACGTGAAAAGAAAAAATCCGAAACGAACAGAGAGATAGAGAGAGGGTTAAACGTTCACTCGACACAAACTACGTCATTTCGGGACTAACACATGGTTCAGTTTTATTTCAATAATTCGCTTGTGTGTAGGGGTCTTTTAACAGTGGGGGGGGGAGGAGGACCCGGAAAAAACCCACGAGGTTGGACAGACGATCCTACTCCTTGTCACGTACAACCGGGGAATCGAAACCACGCCAGTTGACTCAATGACAGACCTTATGATACAGCGCACACGTGCTAACCATCTGCCCACCCGAAACGAACAACGGTAATGTGCATACAGGAAACAAAATTAGGTCCAAAGCAGAACGGCCCAAAACTGATTGGGTACATATTTTTGGGGAATGCTCACTAGTCCGTTGGTTCACTAATCCGCGGGTTCATTAGTCCACCGATATCTATTATTAGGTTTGAGTTAGGTTTAAGGTTCACTAGTCCGCGGGTTCATTAGTCCACCGATATCTATTATTAGGGGTAGGGTTTCCGGATTAGGCTTTTTGATACCCATATTTATAGTATAGTATATTTCTTATACCGGTGGGCTAGTAAACCCGCGGACTAGTGAAAGGGGGGTTGTTGCAATGTTTGTGAGTGAACAACTCTCATATCAGTTTATTAGAATTGACGCTGGTGAAGTTGAGGTCATCGGCTTGGAATTAGCTACAACCGACAAACAAAATATGACCGTAGTTAACAATTATAATCCGTGTAAAATCATTGAGGAAGAAGCGTATAAAAAATATATGAACAAATAAAAAGTAAAGATATTATTACACGTCGAGACTTTAACAGTCACCACTTCACTTGGGGCACTACCTTTAATAGTAATGCTGAAGATAAACTGAATAATTTTATCTAGCTCTATTAAATAACGGTGATCCAATATGTATCGGTTCAGGCAACAAACTGGGTGCTACCCAACATGATCTTACCCTAACATCTCCCAGTATAGTTTTAAACTGATTGGGTACACATTTTTGGGGAATGCTCACTAGTCCGTTGGTTCACTAATCCGCGGGTTCATTAGTCCACCGATATCTATTATTAGGTTTGAGTTAGGTTTAAGGTTCACTAGTCCGCGGGTTCATTAGTCCACCGATATCTATTATTAGGTTTGAGTTAGGTTTCCGGATTAGGCTTTTTGATACCCATATTTATAGTATAGCTACATCCTGCCACAGCTTCTTTTTCTTCTCTTGATCTAACCATTTGCTCTCCGGTCTGTTTCAGGATTTTACATGGAGAGTAAATGAAGATCTATGTGGTAGTGACCATTTTCCCATCTTGATAGATAATAATGGTCCCTCTCCGGTTGAAAGACCGCAGAGGTGGAAGTTACATATGACTGATTGGGCTCTTTTTGAATCTTTGTGTCTCTTCTCTTTCAATAAACCATGTTATAATAACGATTGCAAATCCGCACTTAGAGAGCGTGAATGTATCTTAAGACGCAAATCTTCATGGCAAGGATATGTCTCAAGGATCAATTCCCGTACCACTTCCAAATCGGTATGGGATAAGATTCGTAGAATTAAAGGTAAAAGTAGTGCATTATCAGTTAACCATCTACATGTTGACAATACCACCTTAACACAATTTCCTGAAATTGCTAATTCCCTGGCCAGTACAATGTCATTCAATTCATCATCCAATTTCTCCTCTTATGCCTTTCGGGACATTAAACACGAACAGGAGAAAAGGCGACTTCATTTCAAGTCCCGTAATGATGAATGTTATAATGACAAGTTTTCTATTGCTGAACTCCGTGATTCTCTTAAAAGGGCTCTGGATACTGCAACTGGTCCAGATGAAATTCAGTACCA